GGTTCAATCTCCAGCACTTTAATCAGGAAGTAGTCTGCCAGGAAGACTAACCAGGGATGTGTCCTGTGGGATGTGCCTGTACTTCCTTTGCACTTCTGTAGTAAAATGCAGTTCAGCCAAGGAATAATGGAAGAATGATATGCTCAGTTGCAATCTTGTCAGGAATATGCAGTTTACATTGTTTAATTATTACATTTCATAGGAGATGGGGAATGATATGTCCCTCTCACTTCCCCATGTTAAATGTACCAACTACATAAATCAACGGAATAATTTTTACATATTCCTGTGTGTCTTCCCCTTCTACAGATCTTACCTTACTTTTACCATCTCAGCATGTTAACTTGAATATATTGTTCAATATTCAGTTTAGATTTGTCTCATTCTTAGTATTCCTGCATCCACCAGAATGAATTAGAGGTCATCCTCTTTAAGACCTATAACACCAAGCATTAGCATGTACAGGACTACTTACTTGAATGGTTGGTTTCTACATGCCTTTCCCACTCTTCAGATTATAAGCTCTCTTAAAGTCAGAAATGTCTCAACTGATTTTTCTGCCTAAAAGCCCATCATATTGTGGAGTTCAGCAGCAGACGTTCACTAAACATTTGCTGTCCCTAACTTGACAGTGTATTTATACTGTTAGAGATTTTCATTTTATCTTTAAGCAAACTATAATCATTCCTGTGTTCAAATCTTTGAGAATTATTTTTTACTGATACATAGAAACAAAACATTTGATACAGTGAAATATTATTCACTAACACATTTTCTATTGTCCATTTGAAAGGTGACAGCAGATTATAGGAAATACTCTTTCAATACTGCAGTTTCTTGGATCAAGAACCCAGCAGGCAGGGAAAGAAACTTAAGTTTTTAGTTTGTCCTAATATTTTGACCTGAAAAATTGGTGAGACCACAAAAAGGACACAGCTGACTCAGCAAGCTGTGTGTGCAGTTTCAATAGATGACATATTTGGAACATAGTTTTACTGGATGTAGTTTGCTGTAAAAAAGGGGAAGAAAGTGGGAATGAGTTCTAGGAGACTGCCACAGGCATGGTCTGAAAATCATGAGGGAAGGAAGGTAGAAAGAGAACTTCCTAGGAACGTGGAATATCATGATAAGAGGTAGAGTGGGGGCAGAGTCAATCTTGAGCAAAATGATGTTTCCATTAATATTCAGACTTGGTTTCAAAACACTTCAGTTGGAAAGCAGTAAACTGGGAGTCAATCACTTGATTTTGCATAACTCCCAACATACAGAATTCATTTGCCTCTTAATATAATTAAAATAATCTTAATCAAAAGACTACAATTATTTCTATGCACACAGCAGAAAATTCTATCTTAGGCAAACATGAAGAAATATCAAATTAATGGATTGTTTTTCTGAACACTATTCAAATTTTATACCTTCTCATTTTTTTTGCTTTGTTGGGGAATCAAACCCAGGGCCTTGCACATGCTATAATTAAGCCCCCAATGCTGTATTTGATTTTTATTTATTTACTTTTTGTTGTACTAGGATTGAATCCAGGTTGTTCTAATGCTGGCCTACACTCCTAAACCTTTAAAAAAATTTTTAAATGTTGAAACAGGGTTTTGCCAAGTTGGTTACAGCCTTGATAATTTGCTGAGGCTGGCCTCAAACTTGTGATCCTCCTGCCTCAGCCTCCCAAATCACTGGGATTACAGGTGTGATTCCACCACTGGGTGCCGTACTCAAATTTCCAATGAAGAAATGTGTGTATCAGATGCATAAGCCATTGTTTAGAATTTAATAAAAAAGTAACAAGATTTAAATCTGATTTGACATTATTTTCAAACCAATGATACTTGAAGTTAACTGATGTTCACAAAATGACCTTAAGTGCAAAAATATCTTGAAGGGCTTTCTAAATGAATTTATAAAATAAGCAAATATTTCCTTTTATAGGGTTGATATAAAGATTAGTTGTAATACATACCCACAAGCAGAATAGCATACGTTTAGCCCAAATCAGGTAAGGAATAACTGCTAACTGAATGTAAGTGTACCTTTAATTAACCAAATATTCAACTGATTTAGACCTTCTTCCAAAGCAGACTATCATTCACATTTTTGAAACAGAAATAGAAGCTATGTGTGGCAACATCTGTCTGTAATTCCAGCTACTCAAGAGGCTGAAGGAGGATTCACAAGGGCAGTCTAGGCAACTCAGTGAGACCCTTTTTAAAAAAGGGTTGGGGATGTAGCTCAGTGGTAGAGTGCTCACCTAGTATGCATGAGGCTTAGGGTTTAACACGCAGCACTACAAAACTAAGTAAAATTATAAAAAATTGGTCTGTCATATTCCTAAATTATTCTTAGAGAAAATAAGACATTAAAAATAAGAGTAACAAACCTAAAGATAAATGTTGTTTCCCAACAAATTAGAATGCAATATTTTGAGATTAATAATTCCACAGGATGTTTCAATGGAAACTTCTCACAAAATAAAAGATATTGTTATGTTTCAAAATAATATGTAACAATAAAGCAGACAGGACTTAGGCAGCAAGGAATGAATAGGATTTATATCCTTAGAAAATTTTCCTGTCCATGTTGTGTTAGTAATCAACAACCAACCTCAGCTTCCCTTTATCATTAGCAATTGCTAGCCAGGAATCTGCAGTTACTTGAGTTGTACTTGTCAGAAATAATTTTTAAAATGTTTGTCTTAGAGGAATCAATTTTGGGGGGTGGTGGTACTGGGGATTGAACTCAGGAGAACTCAGCCACTGAGCCAAATCCCAGCCCTATTTTTGTATTTTATTTAGAGACAGGGTCCCACTGAGTTGCTTAGCACCTTCACTTTTGCTGAGGCTGGCTTTGAACTCTTGACCCTCCTGCTTCAGCCTCTGGGATTACAGGTGTGGGCCACTACATATGGCAGTAACTTAATTTTCTTCCTCCATAATTCTAACTGCATGAATAACTGGGAATTTACTGTTATTCAAGCAATATTAACACCATATGAACTGAAAACCATGCCTATAAAAAATCTAGTGGTTTAAAAATACCACATGCAAGAAAGTAAGTAAAATGATTTTCTCCTAAAATATTTGAAGAATATGGAGGCTTTTAACTTTTCTTTTGAAGCCTCCAAATCATCTCTTAAGTAATGTCTACGAAAAAGACATAGCCTCAACTGTCCTCAATCAATATTAGTTTTGGATATATACACAGATTTAAAATGCATGTATATTAAACAAACTAGAAATGAGGCAGTCTGGAAGTTTATTTAAATATCTAGTGGAGGCAGCTCTTTGTGGGTTGTTTTTCATGTAGTAAGTGTGTGTAAACCAAGGGCCATTCATATTTTTATTAGCTTTTCAAGAGACACAAAAAAACTCTGAAATTAGAAGAAATCCAGTTTATTCAAATAATTCTTCAAGTTTTGAAACAATAATTGCAAATAAGCAAGGTTTTTTTGCTTATATGTTTGATCAATTATAATTTGTTTCATTTTTAAAGTCAAAACAATGTACTTAAGGGTAAAAAAAAGAAAATATTCCAGTTTTTCAAATTTTGTTAAAGTACAAATTTTTTAATGTAAATGATTAGATGAGGTGTTAAGAAATTATAAAAACCTATGAAATACCAATATTATAAAGACAATTACCAACAGAACCTGAAGGTTGTTTAAAGAGTATTTAACTAGAATATGTAACTTTTGGTTTACCTTGTATTGTAGAAATATTTTTAATAATAAACTTTGTGATGTCTTCCCATAGCCAAACATAAATAAAATGGCTGAGATAGTGTTATTTTTTGAAAAACAGTTAATACTACTGCTTTCATATCTGGTTCAGGAGTTCTGATTTTGACAAATTAAAAAAAAATGTTATTTTAATTACATCATTTTTTAAAATTCCTTATTTCCTTTGGCTACAGTTCTGCTTGATTTTCTCCTCTTAAAGATCCCTGTTAGAGAATCCTAAGTATTCAAAATTCCATCCTATTGTTGATGTGACTAAATGGGCTTATCTTGGGGGTTCTTAGTGGCTTTCTGAATTGAAAATGAGTTACTCTGCACTGAACAAGGCAAAATTATACTCTTTAAAGGCCTATGCCAGATAACATAGAAAGTTTAACAGAAGTTTGAAAAAATATTGACGTTTTATTGGCTGTTAGATTCAGTTAAAGCAAATCTCTTGTCACATTTTAGGGCTAACTAAAAGTTGAGAAAGGTCCGTTCACTTCTGAGGGCTTTTTTTGATTAGGATCTTAAAAGAAATCAGGATTGGCTGCTGAGCAAGGAAGGTAATAATGTATGAGCAGACATATTGCTCAAGATGGTAGTTACTACATTCAACTGTCCTATGATGATTATTACTAAGAAATTGTTTACTTTTGCAGAATGTTGGAAAAAAAAACTATGCCAAGAGCATTAAAAACTCTGTATTTATGCAGTATTTAAATTATTGCAATATGGCTCAACTAACTGTATAAGCATAAACATGCCCTATTATTTGCTACAAAATCATTTAAAGAGCCATTTAAATTTGTGAAGTACAAATACAAAATAAATAATCTTGTGGAAAAAGTTATCAGAATTGCATTAATACCAATGTAATGAACTACCATTCCAACATAAAATTTGTTAAAATCTCTACTCAAGGAAACACCGAAATATGCAAACCAGTATTTCTATTTAGGAATATTTTACAAGTAAAAATTATAAAATATTAAAATCAAAGGAATTCACAAACATAGAATTGTAAATTATATGAACAAAGTGTCAAGAATTATCAAATTGTTGGTTTGATGACCAATTCAAGAAAAAAATTTCTTTCAGCTCAATAAAATGCCACAACACGATAAATTATTAAAAAAATAACAAACAAAAACTTGGTTTTAAAGATTTTATCACTACTGATTAACCTCAAACATGGAATTAACTCCCTTTACAACTCTGTGGAAATAATTTTGGAATTTCAGATGTTAGAAATTAATTTCCAAGCCTTACATGATACATTATTGTATATACATTTTATAAAGGATCATGCACTTTATAATAGACCACATTTACATATTTTAAAGTGTTAAACATTAAAAAATACGGAAGTAAAAATATTTTGGAAAACTTGTTAAATCTCCTTTATTTCAGTAGTCAGATTGATTTCAATGTCCTGGCTGAAACTGTTCCTGTTGCCATGGAGCTGGAAGAAATAGATCAGATATAAGTTAATGATGTAGACTAATGATATATAATAGGATAATAGAAAAAACCTGAGATTAAGTTAGAGCCCAAAGACATCAGAGTTTGAACTGCCCTTCTGTCCCTTACTAGCTGTTTAACGTTCTCTGAGGAGTAGTTTCCTCATCAGTAAAAGAACAATATCTTTGCATCTCTCTCAGGTATCCTGTGAAAATTAAATGCAATGCTTGGCACACAGGGCTAAATTAAACATCATCTTTGAGTTCCATTTTCTGGTGTTAAATATATAGGTATTGTGGGTAAATCAGTGATAAATGGACCAAAGGGATTTTCACATCTTTTTAAGAATGAATGCACTAAGTATGAGAGGTAATATTGATGGATCATTTGCACTCATAAAAACTAAATTATGTGCTAATAATTGCTTCCCTTCCATCCTCCAGGGACCAGGCACTGGACTCCAGGACCTCATGCATACTAGGTAAGCATGTTACAACTGAGCTACATTCCCAGACCTTTTTAGTTTTTGTTTTGAGACAGGGTCTTGTTAAGTTGCTAAGGCTGGCCTTGAACTTTGCAATCTTTCTGCCTCAGCACCCAGGTCACTGGGATTACAGGGCTGTGCCACTGCACCTGGCTCCCTTTTCTTTTTTTTTCTTTTTTGACAGTGTCTTGTTAAATTGACCGGAATGACCTTGAATTTGTGAGCCTTCTGCCTCAGACTCCTGAATAGCTGGGATTAGATTTTTTTTTTTTTTTTTGTACCAGAGGATTAAGCCCAGGGATACCTAACCACTGAACCACATTCCCAGCCCTTTTTTATTTTTCTGAGACAAGGTCTTGCTAAATTGCTTAGGGCCTCACTGAGTTGAGGAGACTGGCTTTGAACTTGTAATCCACCTGCCTCAGCCTCCAGAGCTGCTGGAATTATACGGTGTGTGCCACCATGCCCAACCAATACTTAAAATTTTTGAGAGTCACACCTGGACTTGATTGCAGATTGATCTTTTGTAATATTACATGTGGCTTAGCAATTAAGAACACAAGAAATCCTGAACAATGAGAACATTTTCTATTTCAGAAATGTTTTCTAATTTAATTTGGATGTTTGCCACATCTACTATGCTTGGTGTTCATCTTTACAGCATTAGCAATAGTATCCCAAATTAATCATGAAGGAAAAAAGCAGACTCGTATACTTTCTCCCTCTTTTCTTCCTCCCTTACTTTACAGGATTCCTCAGGTGAAAAATTTCTGTCCTATTTAAACTTATTTGGGACAAGGAGAGAAGGAAAAGAAACAGATTATTATAAAACTACCCCAGTGCCCACAGGTCCTATCATTCTGAAAGAGCACATAAAAAGTATCACAGAATGGGAGAATAGTTAAGAAATTCAATGAAGTTAGACTGTGCAAGTGGAAGTGGTATGAAATGAGGCTGGATATGAAGGACTGTGAACAGCTCTGCATTCCAAGCTTAAGTGTTTGAATTTTATCCTATAGGTTATAGGAAATCAGTAGTCACTTCAATGCAGAAGTCCTAATGTGATCAGATTTCTTAGTTTCAAACATAATTATGTTGGGCTCTTGAATTTCCCTAAGATATTACAGATAATTATCATTATTTAAATTACATTTTACCTCTAATGGGAGAATACTTGGGTTAGTACCTAATTACTGTATTTGCAGAATAATTATTTTTAAATTTTGTTTTAACTATAGTAAATGCACATTTAAATTTAATTAAAAACATATTCTAGTCATATTTTACAGAGTGAAGTGTTTAAAGAGGAAAATTTTCAAGTTCCAGAGGTTAAACTACAACGTTATTTTACCAATTATGTTTCAATTAATTCCATTCACTTACATCACTGTATTATACTAAAATACCTATAGAAGAGAAGGATGGTTTTATCTGATTTAAGTTTCTTTTTCAACCATTTTTTTCTTTTTTAATATTTTTATTAGTTATTGATGGGCCTTTATTTATTTACTTATTTTTATGTGGTGATAAGACTTGAACCTAGTGCCTCACACATGCCAGGCAAGTGCTCTACCACTGAGCCACAAACCCAGCCCAATAACTAATTTTTTTTTTTTTGGTGGTGGTGCTAGGGATTGAACCCAGGGTCTTGTGTATGCAAGGAAAGCACTCTACTAACTGAGCCATATCCCCAGCCTCAACCATGGTTTTTAACTCTATATTACCTCCAATTATTATACACAGTTTTAAAAATATATCATGGCATTAAAAACTTTTATAAATCTTTCAATGGTTGCATCACTGTATGGATTTCACTATGTCTTACTTAACCATTCACTAAGGTTGGATTTTACTGAAGGACACATAGTGACTTTACCCAGTTGTTCTTTTTCTCTAATCTTTGACAACTAGATTTCCACACAATAACACAATTCAACTGACAAATGAATAAGTCTACAAATCTGCACAGAAAATGACTGCTATATATATAAGTGTATTGTGAATTCCATTTACATAAATGTACAAAAGTTAAGAATAAAACATTCAGTGAGGCAAGTATTAAAACTTATAAAACTCACCATAAATCCAAGGGACTTCTTGAAGCACACCTGAATTAGGAGGATAAGGGTATGCAGCTTGTGGTAATGGCTGATGAGAAGCATACTGTGAAAAAATAGGTTGCTGAAAATTATAAGAAATAGGCCTTTGGGATTGAAAATATCCATCCGCTGGCATAAAGGCATTTGCTTGTGGCTGCTCAGCAAAGCAACTAAAATACTGAGAGTACAGAATATTAGAATGTGTGGTTTGGACAGTACTTGCAACTGTAGTCAATATCCCAGAAGGAGGTGGGTATACTTCGTATGATTCTATTCCTTGGTATGTGTGGGTAATGGCATTGCCATTGCTACTGCTATAATGATAGACACACCAAGAATAGTATGGATATGAGGTGGCTCCAAATGAATGCTCAGAAGAATTGTATATTGGGTTACATGTAGACTGTGGAAGTTCATTCCAATATGTGGCACCTTTCTTATTCAGGACTTTAGGATTCTCATCTTGTTGTTCAGAAAGAGAATATTCTGCTCTTTGATTCGCATCAAGGGTTAAAATTCCAGTTTGTCCAAAGGGTATCATACTGGGCTTCAATGTATTCTTCATATATTTTTCCTCTGACTCAGTTTTTGCAGGATGTTTTTTATTTTCTTGCAGAATAGAAATTTTGCCTTGGATATGTGTGGGTTCTGGAGAACTGATGCATGTAGAATTTTTAATAGATGAATTTAACATTTCATTATCTTGACATTCAAGGACTGTGTCATTCATTTCTAGATTGGTATGGATCTCTCTCAAAAAATGGAAAACGGGCTTTGAGAACATTGTTGCATTAGGCACAAGACAGTCATCAGTTCCAGGATTTATGTTTGAAAGACAGGATTTCTGTGTAGGATCTGTTATGTTGTGATCTTCTCCAAAGGTATCATCTATATTTCTTTGATCACAAGGTGCAAAAGAAGCATGTTTGTTCTCATTACTTTTTGTCTCAGCAACACTAAAACTCATTTTTCTTTTCTTTATGGTATTTAAGTTTTTATGTTGTCTGGTGATGTGTTCTGAAGTACCAGATGAACTATTAGTTAAATCAATATTGCTTTCTGACCTTGATGTACAAGCGTTTTGTAGGGTCTTCAAAGGTAAAAGTGAGCTTTGCATTTCAACCATTTTTGGAGATACATAGTTTCTTTTTAGATTATATGATGAATTTGATCCTATTTCATTTTCAATTTTGCAATGAGATCTTGTAGTCCTATTAAGTGTAACATTTAAATAAAAACAACTTTAAATATACAATCACAAAATTTTAACAATATACATATGGCATATTTATTCAGAAGAGTTCTTAAGACTGACATTTCTCATTCTATTGGGAAAATATAAGTAACATTATTTTCCCAGTTTTATTCACTAGGTTTGAATTTATATACTTTTCCTGCTAAAGATAATACTCCGTCATTTCAAATATATTCCTAACTGTACTTAACAGTTTTGTGCTTCAAACCTTTCCTGATACAGGCCTTTAAAATTAGGAAACTATCATTATTCAATTGTACAGTGTAGTTTCTAATTCATATACTTCCAACACACTGACAATCTTCATTACTTGTAAATATCTACACATACAGCTCGTGTAACTCTCAGCTTTAGACCCTTCCTTCTCCAACAAAAGATCACTTCCCTTTCTTGTTATAACAAAGGTTTCCTCCCATTCCATCCATCTTTGAGAAAAGGAAAAACAGATCTTTAAAATTTCTTGTCAATTTAATATTCTTGGCATTTCTACCTAAATTTAGATAGCTTTAAGCAGTCTTGGAGTAGCATCCAAGTGTGTCTAGAATCAGAGTTAATACAGGACCCAAAGATAATTATGTTTTTTGGTCTTTTATCAAATCCTTTGAATTATATGCAGGAAAAAAATTAGCTGAGAAGGGAAGAGCATTATTCCTACGACAGGGTCAAGAGAAATTCATCCCTGACCTAGAATCTGTATACCTACCCAGGAAACTATAACCCAACCTCCTTAAAAGGCCTTTTAATGATAACAGACATCATTTAACTGCATATAAAACAGAGTTCCTATAAAGTATAACTTTGAATTTATTACATTTTCAATGGTATCTTGGCCTTATAGATTAGCAGGTGTCTGGTCTGTTTCTTTATGTACTCTTAGAGGAAATTAATTTCTATAAAGATAGCATTCTGTATTATCAATCTTATGTAAGAATTAATTTTTCTGTTATGTGAATTATAGCTTGATTTTGTTTTGCAGTGCTGGGGATCTCTCACATGCTAGGCAAACACCCTACCACTGAGCTACATCCCCAACCTATAGCTTGATTCTTTAAGAAGTAAATACCACCCATACTTAAACAAAACTAAGATGATTTCAAAATTGGTTTGCTATCCCTCTAATTTCCTTTGAATTTTCAGTCACTACATACCTTTTTAGAAAATCATATGCTAAGAAAAGGACTCCAGAAATGTAGTAATAGAATAATAGAATGTTATACTTAAAGAGGCAAAATCAAGTAAAACAGAAATGAGTTTGCTTATTTTTACTTTTTATTTTGTATTACTCATTATCCCTTATAACATGGGGGGTGGAAAGAAACTACATGCAACTTCAAAATCTCAGAGGTAAATGAAACAACAGATGGTTTTTAAGTGCAGTGGTGCTACTTCACGTCAAAATGAAAAAAAATATAAATAATGTAGTTCATTTTTTTAAAAAAATATACTTATTTTTTAATTGTAGGTGGACACAATATCTTTAATTTTATGTGGTGCTGAAGATCAAACCCAGTGCCTCACAGGTGCTAGGTGAGTGCTCTACCACTTGAGCCACAACTCCAGCCCCTGTAGTTCATTTTTCATAAAGATAACTTATTTAGTTTTTTTATTAGTTATTGATGGACCTTTATTTAATTGCTTATATGTGGTGCTGAGAATCAAACCCAGTGCCTCATGCATGCTAGGCAAGCGCTCTACCACTGAGCCACAACTTCAGCCTAATTTATTCAGTTTAAAGAACTATCAGCATCAGGCAGGGTGGCTCATGCCTGTTATTCTACTGGTTTGGCAGGCTGATGCAGGAGGACTGAGAGTTCAAAGCCAGCCTTAGTAACTTAGCGAGACCCTAAGCAACTCAGTGAGACCCTCTCTCTCTCTCTTTTTTTTTTTTTAATATTTATTTTTTAGTTTTTGGCGGACACAACATCTTTGTATGTGGTGCTAAGGATCCAACCCTGGCCGCATGCATGCCAGGCGAGCGCACTACCACTTGAGCCACATGCTCAGCCCCGCTATCTCTAAATAAAATATAAAAAAAGTGGTTAAGGGCCCCTGTGTTAAATCCCTGGTACCAAAAACACCACCACCACCACCACCACCACCACCAGACCTATCAGCATCCCTAATCCTTCCTATTTTACAATGTTAAAAACATCCTTCTATGAAACAGTGTAATAATATGGTGAGTGTGTGTCTGTGACAGACACCATCTATATTAATGTTCCCAGTTAGTGATATACATTGGCAATTATATCTCTATTCCAGTGTGAAAACTGGCTGGTCTGCAAGATCTGCAAGTTTTAAAAAATACTTGTCCTATTCCTTTATGCCATTTCAGGAAACTATTAATTGGTTAGGTAATACATATTAAATGTGAATTTTTATTTCTTCTTCTGTAAAATAATCACTCTAAGTTTTGGATATCTTACTTTTTAAAAAAAACATTTATTTTTTAAATTGTAGATTGACACAATACCTTTATTTTTATTTTTTGTGGTACTGAGGAACCCAGCGCTTCATGCATGCTAGGCAAGCGTTCTACCTCTGAGCCACAACCCCAGCCCTAACTTACCTTTTTGAACTGTGTTCAAACAGTCTTACTATTTATATCACTAAAAAAATACATCTCACAAGACATTGGCCTTAAATACTTACAGAATGGAGTTCAAACTCATGACTAACATAAAATGATGTATAATCTGAAACAAACTTCTTTAGCTTCTTACTCTTGTCTCCTAAATTATGCATATGACACAATGGAGTTATATAAATAATTGTTTTACTTTTTTATTTATTTGGTACCAGGGTTTGAACTCAGGGGTACTCAACTATTGAGGCACATCCCTGGATTTATTTTGTATTTTATTTAGAGACAGGGTTGGTCTCACTGAGTTGCTTAGTGCCTTGTTTTTGCTAAAGCTGGCTTTGAATTCTAGACCTCCTGCAGAAGCCTCCTGAGCTGCTGGGATTATAGGTAGGTACCACCACGCCCAGCTGTTTTATTCTTATATTTTAGTATTTGCCTAATTTTGTTTTGTCTTTAGTTACGGTTGATGGCAATGCCTACCTTGGCTTCTTGAATGCTGATTCCGCTTTGTAGATTTTTGTGACATCTTTCATGCTAACCTATGTTTACAAGATACAAAGAAAATCTACATTGGTGACGATGAACTATAATACAAATATTAATTCTCCCCACCCCCACAAAAAACCAGTGACTCTTTCAGGACTTTGCAAACATCACTTACATTTGGATTATTCCAAAACTTAGAGTGATTAATTTACCATTCTTTTTTAATGGTACTGTGGATTGAATCCTGTGGCCTTCTACCACTGAGTTACACTCAGCTCTTTTCATTTTAATTTTGAGACAGTTTGTCACTAAATTTCTTGGCCTTGAATTTGTAATCCTCCTACCTCAGCCTCCCAAGTTGGTAGGATTACAGGTGTGTGCTCCCATACGCAGCTAAAATAACTGTTTTGAAAAAAGAATTTGCAACATTCTTCTTACCTCTACATATCTTAAAACTAATCTTGGAGTCCATTTATGACTGCTCTCTCTTTAGTTAATCAGTCACTGAGCCCCATCAATTTTTAAAATAATGTCTATCAAATACAGGATCAGTATCCCTAATTCAAACATCCAAAATCTGAAATGCTCCAAGATATAAAACTTTTTGAGTGCTAACATGATGCCCTAAGTGAAAAATTCCACACTATGAAACTTTGTCCCACATACAAAATCCATTTAAAATAATGTAAAAAATTACCCATAAGGCATATATGAAAATAAATTAATTTTGTGTTTAGACTATGGTCCCATCCTCCAGATCTGATGCAAATATGAAAAAGCCTGAAAATAACCCAAATCTGAAACACTTCTGATCCTAAATATTTTGGATAAGGGATATTCAACTTGTATAAATTTTCTTTTCTATTTCTATGAAACAGCACTCTTTTCTAAACCGTGGCTGACGAATGACTACTTCTAACTATACTCAGAATCTACTTATCTTTTAAATCACTGAAGAAAACTTCCCATGATATTACACTTCAACATGTACAGAATGTAATTCAAACTGTTTTTTTTTTTTTTTTTGGTGCTATAGAGCCTGTGCATGCTTAGCACTGAGCTACACTTACAACTTCCGAAACAATCTTTTTAAAAAACTGGTTATTCTAATTTGTTACATATGACAGCAGAATGCATTACAATTCATGTTACACATATAGAGCACATTCTTTTCATATCTCTGTATATAAAGTATATTTACTCCATTTGTGTCTTCATACATGTACCTAGGGTAATGATATCCACCTCATTCCACCATCTTTTTTTGTCCCGATGAGGTCAAAAAAAGTTCATCTAATTAATTCATCTAATCCTCTCACGTTCCCCCCTCCTAACCCCACTATGAATCAGCATCCTTATATCAGAGATAGCATTTGGCATTTGTTTTTCTGGGGATTGGCTAACTTCACTTAACATTATTTTCCCTAACTCCATCAACTTACCTGCTAATGCCATGATTTTATTCTCTTTTATTGCTGAGTATTATTCCATTGTGTATATATACCATGTTTTCTTTATTCATTCATTTACTGAAGGGCATTCTAGGTTGGTTTAGCTATTGTGAATTGTGCTGCTATAAGCATTGATGTGGCTGTGTCCCTGTCGTATGCTGTTTTTAAGTTCTTTGGGTATAGACCGAGGAGTGGGATAGCTGGATCAAAAATTACCATACTAACAAAAGAACTATGCAGATTAAATGCATTTCCAATCAAAATTCCGATAACATTCCTCACAGAAATAGAAAAAGCAGTCATGAAATTCAATTGGAAAAATAAGAGACCCAGAATAGCGAAAGAAATCCTTAGCAAGAAGAGGGAAGCAGGTGGCATCACTATATCAGACCTTATACTACCGAGCAATAGTAACAAAGACAGCATGGTATTGGCACCAAAATAGACCTATAGACCAATGGTACAGAATAGAGAACAGAGAGACTAACCCACAAAACTACAGTTATCTTATATTAGACAAATGTGCCAAAAACATGCATTGGAGAAAAGATAGCCTCTTCAATAAATGGTGCTGGAAAAACTGGAAATCCATAGGCAACAAAATGAAATTAAATCCCTCTCTCACCATGCACAAAACTCAATTCAAAGTGGATCAAGGACCTAGGAATTAAACCAGACACACTGTGTCTATTAGAAGAAAAAGTAGTCCCAAATCTCCATCATGTCAGAATAGGCCCAAACTTCCTTAATAAGACTCCTATAGCACAAGAATTAAAATAAATAATCAATAAATGGGATGGACTCAAACTAAAAAGCTGCTTCTTGGCAAAAGACATAATCAGTGAGGTGAATAGAGAGCCTGTATCTTGGAAGCAAATTTTTACCACTCGAACATCAGATAGAGCACTAATCTCTAGGGTATATAGAAAACTCAAAAAGCTAAACACTAAAACAAAACAAAAAACCAAAAAGCATCCCAATCAATAAATGGGCCAAGGAACTGAACAGACACCTCTCAGAAGATGATATACAATCAACAAATGTATGAAAAAATGTTTAACATCTCTAGCAATTAAGAGAAATGCAAATCAAAACTACTCTAGGATTTCATCGCACGCTAGTCAGAACAGCAGCTATTAAGAATACAAACAATAAATGATGGTGAGGATGTGGGGGAAAAGACACACTCTCATACACTGCTAATGGGACTGCAACTTGGTGCAGCCAATATGGAAAGCAGTATGGAGATTTCTTGAAAAGCTGAAACAATCTTCTTTTCATCCTTAGTTTTACTCTTGTTCACCAATAAGTTAAATTGTTCCAAACTTGATTTTAAACTCATTTCTCAAATAATGTTAATAAGCATTGTTTTTGCTCACATTACTTTGTGCATTTTAAAAACCCTCTTCATTTTACCTTCACCTGATAACATTTGTTTTTCTTTAAGGTAAAATTTGGCCTGTGTTCTCCTATAAAATAAATTCTCTCTAACAAGCTAAGCTTTATTTATTCTTTCTTTCCTTCCTCATATCAACAATACCTTTTTATTATAATCCTTACTTTATTCTTTTTTATTTTTTTTGTGGTGCTGGGGACTGAACCCAGGGCCTTATGCACGTGAAGTCAGCACTCTACCAATTGAGCTATATCCCCACCCCCTCACTTTACTCTTGATGTTGAGCATATAATTTGTGCTCTGGTTGTTTATTAGGCATTTTTCTATAAAGATGGTACCATAGATGATGATTAAATTATTAACCCCTACAACTAGGATGTACTAATAATTACAATTGAAGTAAGCACAGAAAGTATCCTACTTTTCCTTTACTTCTGAATTAGGAAATTCTTGAAAAGCTGTCCCCAAAGCCTCTGAGGGTAGAGCAGGGGCAACTGGTAGAATGAGCTCTGGAGCTAGACTGACTGGCTTTAGAAATGGTCTATTCTGTTTACTAACTCTGTGACCATGGGAAAGTTATTTAATCTTTCTGTGTTCAGTTTCCTCATCTTTAAATAAGGTAACAAAAATACCTTTAAATAAGGTATTAATACCTTTAAAGGTAAAAATACCTTTAAAAAGAAAAACCCAAGGGCTTTTTGTGAATAAATTAACATTTGTATAATCCTCAGAATAATACCATACACATAAAACTACGTAAATTTAAAAAAATGTATTAATGTATTAATATAGGACTTTTCCTAACTTATTGATAATCATCTATTTATCTGTCCTACTTCACCATCTGGATGATAACTGTCAAGAAGACAAGCTTCATTAGGTCATTTTTTTAATATTCACTACATTGGTCATAGGCTTGTTACATAGAAGGTAATGAATAAATACTTGATCATGCACTAACACATTCATAATAATGAATTTTCCCTGACATTAAAATTCATTCTTCCATGAAATGTTATTTAAAACATTTATGTTTGGGGCTGGGGATGTGGCTCAAGCGGTAGCGCGCTCGCCTGGCATGCGTGTGGCCCGGGTTCGATCCTCAGCACTACATACAAAGATGTTGTGTCCGCTGATAAAAATAAATATTAAAAAATCTCTCTCTCTTCCCCCCCTCTCTCTTTAAAAAAAAACATTTATGTTTAAAAAGCAAACATTTGCAAGGCAATCTCTCATGTACAGAATTATTTCATAGGTAATAAATCCAATATTTTAGTTAGCAAAACTTGTTTTGCAAGGCAGTAATTTAAAACATTAACATTTACCATTTTGAAAAGTACTTGTTTACTTGAAGAGATTTGTTTTCAAAAAGAATAAAGAAGTTTCATTTTAAATCATCATCCATACCTTTTGTTTTTTACAACAGGAAGTAGTATTTTTCTCTTCTTCCTGGGAGTCTTCACACTTGTCTGTATGGATAGGTTGTTTTTTAGAGGAATTTGGAAAGTTTTTAATTATACACTCTGAAATTAAGGGTACCTTCATAGAAAGACTGGATTTATTTGTATTTTCTTCAGGTTTTACAGCATGAATATTCATTTTTTCTTCTTTCTTCAGTTGAAAAGCATCCCTTCTGTTATGTGCCATTTGGCATAGCAAAAAGGAAGTAGATAATTTAGCATTTTTAGCACATATAATCTTCATATGCTCAATTGTTTTCATGACTTTCATAATATGGGCCATTTTCCCTAAATCTTTCTGAGGGATAGACATTATATTTTGGAGTAGTGTAGAAAACTGATCATAGTTGTGTTCTAACTCTGTCACAGTGTTTCCGTAATTTATGGATGCTATATATGGCACAAAGTCAATATACGTGGAAAGGGAATACTCAGACTTCTTTAGAAGCTTTTTAATTTCTGAAAGCTCTTCAAGTTCCCTTGAGAATAAATGCAGAGCATATGAGCAGTTAACAGCTTCACTATATTTACTGATAATATCCAGATCTTCCTTAAGTTCAGAAATAGCAGTCTCTATTACATTGTAAAGGCATTCATCTGGGTTATCTTTAAGAAATGAAAAGGATGCCATTTTTTCTTGGCAGCATATCAGCTCAGGAAGAAGGGAGAAATCAAACCAAAGCATACCTCGAAATCTCTGGTTGTCTAGTTTCTTTGCCATTGAATTTTTAAGAAAGTGAACTGTTTCTGACAGCATAACAATTTCAATGTATGTTTCAATTGCTTCAGGTTTTAAAATTATAGCCCCATGGTTGTAGTTTTGCAGCATATCCAAAACATTTTCTTCTGTGATAAAAATATCATCTATGTTCACTTCTTGCAACATCTGAAAATATTTCTTCAAAATTTCTAAGTGATCTGTACATCTCAAAGTAAGTTCCTGTAATTTTTTTAAGTCTGCAATTTCAGCTTGATCCAGTATTTCACCAATATAACAAATACCAGGGTGTGAAAGCAAAGTACTGTTAAACCTACAGTTTTCTTGGCTAACTAGATCATGTGACTTTCCGAAAGTAATCATAGTATCTGTTTCAAGTCCAATACTGGAAGTTAATTCACTGTTTAAATCTTTAGACAAGATTTCATGTATCTCCTGCAACTTAGAAAAAGCACATTCATTCATTTTGAGTAGCACATCTTCATTCTTTTGTAAGTATTTTTTGCTGAAATATTTTCTTCTCTCTTTCCAAACTAGATTTTTTGCAGCATCAAAAAAGATATGTTCCAAACCATAAAGAGAAATTTTAATAGTTACTGCTTCAGTGCTCTTGATAAATTTAACTTTTGAGGAGATTAAATCTATGATAATCCACAGATGGTCTTCTTTTCCAGGATAGGTATAAACTTTAGGGGAGTCTTCATATTTACTGATCAACTTTAAAGTACTTTTTCTTAAGGTTTCTAGGTCTCCTAAACTATCTCCACAGTTAACTCCACAGGTAAATGGAATAGAAAGAGAAAAGTCAAAGCAATCAGAACAGTGCTTAAGTATGGCTTCGCATTCATTAATCTGTCGTTTGTATTTTAAGAAAACATAGTATGAATTGTTTTTCTTTGTTTTTGCTAACAGTTGATTACGGTAATTCTGCAACTCACAGAATGCATTATATTTTAATCTTCCTTGAAAAGCAGGATAGAAATTGGACTGCAGTTGATAACCACGGGGCCTACAAAGTAGTTCACTGTACAATGTTTCATCATACCAAAGCAAGCTCCGGAACGTCGGTTCACCTTTTAAGAGCCTTTTCTTGTTTTCAATGAATTGAATGGTTTCCATCACCATTTGAAGTTCTACCAGAGCATCAACAGCACATGGCTTTAATTTGTATTTGCAATTATTCCACAGGTTTTGTTCTACTAGCAGTTCTCTTGAAATCAAGATTTGTTCAAGTGAACATTCTTGCTTTCTTTCAAAAGCCTCAACAAATAAAGGGAGAATATTTCGACAAATCTTCATTTCTTCCTCCAGTATCTGCAATGATGATGCTTCATCTGCTCTCTGCAAAATTTGAGACAGCTCTGCTATAAAAGCTGTATAATTAGTTGAGCAATATTTTTCATTTAATTCATTCACGTATGATATAGGCTTCTGAAAAGCAGTGACTTCACAGGCTTCAGACTGGACATGTAGAAAAGGAATACAATTAATTGCTTGAATGCCTAGTTTGGAAATACAGCGAGACTGAGAGTCATCAGTAACTTTGATACCCCACTCCTGTCTTTTGTTAGGCTGACCAGAAATTGTGTTACTCAAAGAGACCGCCTCTGGAGCAGTATTTTTAATACTTACATTAGAGTCAACTGGATTACTTTTAATTTTTTTCATATTTAAGTGGGAGGGTTCCTCTTTTAGGCTATTTTGATTTTTATACTTAACAGTTAATCCTTCAGTAGTGCCTCTTTTGTAAATGGAATCTTTTTCTGCTTGTTCAATTGGAGAATTCTTTCTAGCCTGAATGTCTTTCTTTGCAATACATTTTTTTGAAGAACACCTTATATTATCTTTCAAGAGCAGAGAACTTCCATTGGAAGGTAGTTTATTCATTATATTTTCCCCACAACTTTTACTTTCTTCAGTGACTGATGTTAGGTCCAACTCAGAATACCCAATACCATTTGTTTCATCCTCATCTGTAAGAAAACAATTACTTGAAGAGCAAGGTTCTGTGTTTAGAAGCTCCATTCCACCATACATCTGCTGACAGTGTGACACAGTACCAGATATTGAAGAATCCAAAGCAAAAATTCTCTGTTTATTCAAATAATTCTCTGAAGATTTTCCTTCTGCTATCATAGGAGTGGCTGATAACAATTGAGGGGTACTGTATTTTGTGTTTATTATTGAAGTTAGGTTTAATGGGCCCATAAGGAAGTTTCCTGCAATAATGTTTGGTTTGCAGCTCTCAATAGGAGTTGTATACTTGTCTATAGAAACATTTACTTCCAGATTTCTTTTACAACTAGATGAAAGGTTTTCTTGTTCGTAGATGTGCTTCACGTTTGAGTCTGAGACTGAAATGTCAGTTTTCACCTTTGTGTGAGCTATACAAGTTCCCTCATTTCTGTCTGTGTTGTAACTTGGGTTGTTCTCTTTTATACAATTTAAAGACACTGAATTGATTTCATTTATTACTTTATTAGCATCAGAATTATTGTCTTTTATCACATCCTTAGTATTATTATGTGCTGAATGGTTCTCAAGCTTTTTATATTCACTGTTAGATACCTTTATATCAATTTGATTTTCCTTTTTAGTTAGTTTCTCATCTGGGTAAAGCAGACATTCAGTTCTTCCAGAAAAGGGCTGAAGTTCTGATGATCTTGAATGTCTCAGACTGTTATCATACTCTGATTGACTTGTACTTTGGGATGTGGAGAACAGAGGCAAGTGAGATTCAGGATTTTGTTCTAGATCATAAAATTCACTCACATGAATTGTGGTGTGACTTCTTGAGACACTGGTGGCTACTCTTTTTTTGGAATGGCACTTTGCAATTTTCTCTCCATTTGTTTTATAAGACTTGTGCTTTGACACATAAGCTAATGATTTATCAACATCAAATCCCAAAGTTCTTTTTTCTTCTTGTTTGTCATACTTTCTTTTTGACAAAAAATGCTTGGTAGAATAATACCTTCTTTCAGACACAGAACTATAACCTTGAAGGTCACAACTTTCCCAGAAACTATTGCATATTATTGCATATGCTTTTGGTAATGGGCCCTTTCTTTTTTCTCCCACTTTAGCTATAAGCTGCAAAGATGTATGGACTCTTCTATGAGCTTTTTTTAAGTGAAGTACAGCTTTGTCTAGTGTTCTGGAAAGTCGTTTGCTTTTACATAAAGATGCTTCACTATTTAGAATATCCAGAACACTCCTAATATGTCGTTCTGACTGTGAAAATATCTTAATTCGTCCTTGGGATAATGAAGAGAAACACTCAAATGAATCTTGATTGGTTAGTTTCCTTTTTTTTTCACAAATTTCATGTGATATGTTCTCATCCCTAAAAGATGCATGTAACTTTCTTTTGCTAATTCTTGATTCGGTGTCATTTTTACTTTTAGTATCATTAAAGTCTTTTTTTGATTTTGAAAAGAAATATCTGCACTTATCATTTATTACTGTGATATTAGGTTTAGTAGACAAAGATCCACTGCTTTGTTTTTCTGACTTATGATTTTCTTGTGTGTTATGACTCAAGTCAGAAGAATGGGAGAGTTCATTTTCATTTGTAATTCCTGAATCTGGCAGGGAATTACCAAATAAGTCTTCACAGGGATAACCTGAATTTTCACCAGGAGGTTGGGAATAAATTTTAAACTCTGGAGCTTCCCTCTCCTCATTTATTTCTGGGTTTGTGGATTTAGTTATATATTTGTAAGAATTATCCTTTATTACAAGGGAATCATCATTGGGGTTGAATCCTGGCTTATATATATTAGTAATTCTAACTTGTAGATCTGGAAGTAAAATTGGGTGGAGCTCCTCCTTTTGTGTAGAGGAATAAAAACATATAATTTTCTTAGAGCAATGCTGATCAATATTTTCCTTTTTTGTGGTACTTTCCAAAATTTCCTTTTCTCCATTATCACTTCCTAATAGACTTTTCCAATCGATACGAGACATCAGAGCCTCATATGAGGCCTCAACTTCTTCATAAAGTACATTTCCATGGCTATGTGTATCATACTGTTCTGATTCTATTTCAATCTCATTTTGCAATTCTGAACTTTGAAGAACTGAGTTCTCATTTATTGACTGATTTAATGAGTCTTTTAATTTATTTTTATCCATATCAATTTCACAATCAGAAATTCCATGTTTTACTAATGAACCAAAATGTGGACTCTCAAAGCATGTGTCCTTAAACTCAAATCTTTGGTGAGCTTCATAATTTGTGCTTAACGTAGGCATAGTAGTACTAGCTACCTCTACTGTAGCATTTGAAGCTTCACCTACTGAAGAATCTGCAATTTCAACAAATGCTGTGGAATCCAAATGCTCTACATTTCTTCCAGTACTCTGCATGTCTCTTTGTTTTATGGCTATAATGGTATCTTCACTCTCTAATAATGCAGTTTCTGTTGACTTATCTTTATCTTCCCAAACCAAGTTAAATGTAGTAGAAAATTCTTTAGAACTCAGAATTTCTACTTTATTGTAATTTTTATTCTCTCTCCTTTCACTTATATTTGTCATAGTGTTATTTGTAAGAAAACCCTGCTTCTTGCCTCCATATACATTCTCTATGTTTTCTGGAGATGCAGCACTATCTTCCTCTTCAGCCTCATTTTCATTATCATTATATCCTTGCCATTTGAAATTAGTATTCAGGTATAAATCATTATTCAACTGTGCATTATAGAACAGAATGTGATCTTCACCTTCATCTTCAATATGAGGCATTTCTTTGCAGTCTCTCTGAATGTTCTCTAATGACACTGGTTCACTTTCACTTTTCCTCTGGGCACAAATATATTCTCTAGTTTTGTTGCAATTTGAATTGTCAAGAGATGTTTCAATGGCATGAGATGTAATAACTGTATCAATGAGTAGTTCTTTGGCCTGGGAAATATCTTTCGCTTCCTGGAAAGCATCAGGCATAATGCTAACACAATTTTTATTTGTTTTTTCCAGTTTTAGTTCCATTAGCTTTTGAGCAATAGACTGTGGTTCCTGAGAGATGTAACTATTATACTCTTCTGTACAAGTACTCACTGATTTGTAAGAGTTACATGGCTCACTGCTTTGTTTAATTAAAAGTGAGATGTTGCTTTTCTCTTGGGCTCTTTGAGCTTTTTCCTCACTGTGTTTTTGGTTTTCAACTTCTGAAACTATATTTGAAAAATAAATTGGGAAGGAAAGATCACCTTGGTCCTTACATTGTTCTGCCATGGTAATTTTATTGGGTGCTGTTCGATGATGGTCCTCGGTATTTTGAGTCTGAGGCTGTGAATCATCAAAAGAAAATTTGAAGCAGGAGACATCCAAACAATTAGTAAGAATAGCATGGTCACTAGTGACTTCGGGTGAGGAAACAGAATCAGCTGGCACAGAGGACAGATTTATTTCTGAATTATCATAATCTACACTCTTCTTGAATGGCAAAATCTCATTTAAAACTGTAATGTTCTGTTTTTCCGAGCTTTCTTCTCTCTTCATCAGTCTTGGGTCTTTGATGAGTTTTGAAGTAGTAACTGTGCTTGAGCCAGTATTATTGTGAGGGGGGAAAGCAGCAGAAATCCCACTTAAAATATTTTTAAGATATGTCAAATTTAACAAAAAGTCACCATTATCACTTTCTCTATTATCACTGGGCAAAGATACACCTGAATCATGCTCATGTATTTGAGAAGAGTCTCTAATTTCTGCTAAATTATTTTCTGTCTTTTCATTGTATGCTTCAAGTATAGAAATGTTTCCATTTTGCATATTTCCATAGGAATTAGAAATACTTGAATTGGAAGGATTTATCTCTGAATTTAGTACATTGCATGAACAGTTTTCTTCAACAAATGGATCTACAGGTTTCCTGAAATGTTCAAAGATGACAGTAGCATCTTTTCCTTTTCCGATTCTTTTGGCCACTGTACAGTTATTCAAAGAACATGTTCTTTCTGTGAAAATAAGAAGAAAGTAAGAAAAAGACAGAAAAATATTTCTACAGACAACTTATTTATTTTTTATATGGTGCTGAGGATCAAACCTAGTGCCTCACACATGCTAGGTGAGCTCTCTACCATAACCCCAGCCCTTCAGACAACTTGCTTTCAATACAAGAAAACTATGTCATGAATGATTTTAATTAGAAGATCATCTAGTAACCTAATAGTGTTTAAAATGAGTTCTGAGTAGAAATACCAAAGGGATAAGAGAATGAGTACCAAACCAATAAAGTATAAATGATGAAGCATGAAACTCCTACCCTAGTCCAGCAACCTTACTTAAAGAAGTATTTGGCTACAAAAAATGAATTCTGACAAATAATAGAAATTTGCTTGTGAGATTTATGAATTTATAATCACATCACCATGAAGTACAAAAAGGTTCTTTTCAACAATACAAGATAGCTATGTTGAAGATTTCTAAATTCTGTAAACATTTGTGATTTTTATTAATTACAGTAAGCTACAATAAAAACATGATCACAAATAAAGAGATAATAGTTCTTTTTTCTTTTTTTAATTTTTTTTTATTGGTTGTTCACAACATTACAAAGCTCTTGACATATCATATAAGAGATAATAATTCTTAAAACTGGGAGAATAGTGAGACAAAAAAAGAACAGATCCCTGTATCTCCTTATATCAAAATAAAATTCATTATAAAAACCATAAAAGTATTAGCAGAATATATGGATATTTTTATAATGTTGGGGGAAAATGTACTCTTTTTCAAATATTCTTTTTAATATTTATTTTTTAGTTGTAGTTGGACACAATACCTTTATTTCACTTATTTATTATTTTTATGTGGTGCTGAGGATTGAACCCAGGGTCTCCCATGTGGGAGGCGAGCGCTCTCCCACTGAGCCACACCCCAGCTCAGAGTAAAGTACTCTTTAAGCATGACTGAAAATCAGAATAGATGTCAGGTGCTATTTTAAGTGTTTTACATACGTTAATCCTTTATCCTTCACAACATTCTCATTCCATTGATGAGAAAGTGAAACTAAGAATAATTTGCTCAGAATTATACAGGTTATAAACAGTAGAACTTCAATCACTATTCTCTCTTTGAATTTAATAATGGCATTTTTACTTTACACTCATTTTTTCATTTTCACCAAATGACAAATGGAGAACAAATGTAATAACTTCAATAAAAATAAGGGAACTGTAACAAAATCAAATTACAATCAAATTATATTACAAAAGAGCTATTAGCATCATTTATTGTGATAGTAGAAATGTTATCTGCACTGTTTATCCAATATGATAGCCACTAGTTACGTGTGTCTATTGAACACGTGAAATGTGCTTGTTGCAACTGAGGAATGAATTCCTAATTTTATTCTATTTAATTACTTTAAATAGCCAAATGGAATTAGTGGCTAGTATAGGTCTGATGCCAGAGTCAAATGTGTATTTTAACAGTCAACTCATGTGGCCTTGACTTTCTATATCCCAAAGTTTATCATTCTGAAAGGCAACATCCTTTGAACGTGTTCCATACATTTTATGAAAAGTGTGAAGCTACAAAACACAATAGAAATGGAGAAGGATCCATATTTACTGTCTACAATGTACGTCTTCTAGCTGAGGGAAAAATGTGGACATAATAACTAAGCAGATCATGAAAAAAATAGAAGACTTGAACAAAGTACTAACCAACAGTGATCGACAGAACACTGTACCCAAAAGCAGCAGAGTATATGTTCTTCTCAAGTATATTTTTCCTAGAGAATGTTCTACCCACAGAACATTCTCTAGGAAAAATCATATGCTAGGTCTATATAAAACAAAAGAAAGTATGTGGGGGTCACAATAGGCCCATTTTATAGAATTATCATGTTCCCACAACTCATATCTGTCTGTCCCCTGTCAATCTTGCTGTGTTGCCCAGGCCTTTCTCAGACTTCTGGGCTCAAATTATCTTTCCATCTCAGCCTCCCAAGTACCTGGAACTATAGGTATGTACCACTATGCCAGGTATGAGTTGGTTTTTGTTATTTTGTACTTCTAGGAATTTAACCTCAGTGGTAAGTGCTCTACCTCTGAACAGTGTCTCCAGAACTGATTTTCGTATATTTTTCTTATATTCTGCAATCTTGCTAAACTCGTTACTAGTTCTTTATTTTTTTTTTAAATTTTTATTGTTGGTTGTTCAAAACATTACATAGTTCTTGACATATCATATTTCACACTTTGATTCAAGTGGGTTATGAACTTGGGTTACTCCGTATACAGATTGCAGAATCACATCGATTACACATCCACTGTTTTACATATCGCCATAGTAGTGTCTGTTGTATTCTACTGCCTTTCCTTGACAGGGGACAGACAGATATGACTTGTGGGAACATGATAATTCTATAAAATGGGCCTATTGTGACCCCCACATACTTTCTTTTCTAAGAATCAATTTACTTGCAGCCCTGCCTGGATCACTCTTTAGCAAACTACCTGTTATTAACAGGAGAAATGCAGGCCCCAAATAATTCCGATAAGAGGAACACAAATTATCCGGAAGAGAGTACTCTATGATTCTTATATAAAGACCAGATCCCAGAACTCAGACATAAATATCACTCCCTTGAACTAAAAAATCTCTAAGAAGAGGTTCCACTTAGAATTAGTTGCCATGGACCAAAATGACCTAGAGTGATGAAATCTCCTGTCAGTCAAAAGTCAGTGGGGAGCCAGGCTTTGGTATGATTTACAGGCACAGCTATAATCCCAGTGGCTCAGGAGGCAAAGCAAGAGGATGAGTTCAAGGCCAGCCTCAGCAACTAAGTGAGGCACTAAGTAACTCAGTAAGACCCTGTCTCTAAACAAAATACAAAATAGGGCTAAGGATGTTGCTGTGTGAACCGAGTTCAATCTCCGATACCAAAAAAAAAGGGGGGGCTGGGGAACCAGGGCAGGACTCTCTGGATACTTCTCTGGGACCCCTATAAAACTGGAGGGTAAGACTGGGGTTGTAGCTTAGCGGTTGAGCTTGCTTAGCATGTGTGTGCCCTGGGTTCAATCCTCAGTACTACATAAAAATAAATAAATAAGTAAAATAAAAGTATTGTGTCCATCTACAACTAAAAATATTCGAAAAAAAATTGGAGGGTAGGAGATGCATGCTGTCTCTTCTCCTCTCTGAGAGGACCCAAACTCTCCCTTAAAGCAAGTCTCAGCAAAAGTGAGGTGCTAAGCAACTCAGTGAGACCCTGTCTCTATAATAAATAAAATATAAAAAAAGGCTGGGGATATGGCTCAGTGATTGAATGCCCCAAGTTCAATCCCTGGTACCCTCCCCGCCATAAAAGAATGCCCTCTTTTCCCCTTTCCTATATCTTCTTTTTTTAAAATATTTTTTTAGTTGTATTTGGACACAATATCTTTATTTATTTATTTATTTTTATGTGGTGTTGAGGATCAAACCCAGTGCCTTGCACATGCTAGGTGAGTGCTCTACCACTGAGTCACAACCCCAGCCCCCTCTCCTATATCTTCTAATAAACTCATGCCTATTACTCTGAGTGTCATGTCTGAAGTGGGGGGGGGGCTTGCCATAAAGGTAAACAACACAAGCCACTAAGGAAAACAGCCTGGCAGTTCCTCATTCAATTTACACACAGTTACTGTATGATTCAGCAATTCCCACTCTTATGTATACTTTATCCAAAAGAAATGAGAAAACATGTTTGTGTACAAATGTCCATAGTAGAATGAAAAGAAGTCAAATGTTCATCAATAGATAAGCGGCTAAATACAATGTGGGTGTACGTGTACAACAGAATACTAGTCCATAAAAGGAATAGAGTAGGGCTGGGATTGTGGCTCAGAGGTAGAGTGCTCGCCTATCATGTCCGAGACCCTGGGTTCGATCCTCAGCACCACATAAAAATAAATGAAATAAAGGTGTTGTGTCAATCTACAGCTAAAAAATAAATATTTAAAAAAAAGGAGGGCTGGGGCTGTAGCTCAGTGGTAGATAGCCCGCCTCACACATAAAAATAAATAAAGATACTATGTCCAAATACTAAAAAAAAAAAAAAAAAAAATAGAGTAGATACATGCTATAGTATGGATGAATCTTGAAAACACTATTAAGTGAAAAACACTAGGTACAAAAAGCCACAAATTATATGATTCCATTTTATATGAAATGCCCAGAAGAGGTGAATAAATAGATTAGTGGTTGCACAAGGCTAAGAGCCATGAGAGGAAAGTGATGTGATAGGTTTTTAAAGGGTATAGTTTCTTTAAAACTCCTCCCAAGTTTAACTGCAGTGATGGGTGTATGTACTGAGAACACACAATTGAATATACAATTATTTGATTTTACACTCCTTTCCTCCAATACTGGGGACTGAACCCAGGTGCACTGTACCACTGAGCTACATCCCCAGCTTATTTTTTTTTTAATTTTTATTTTTTAGTTGTAGTTCACTTATTTATTTTTATGTGGTGCTGAGGATCGAACCCAGGGTCTCGCATGTGCAAGGCGAGCACTCCACCACTGAGCCACAACTCCAGTCCCCCCATCCCATTTTTTATTTTGAGACAAGACTGCCCTCAAACTTGCAATCCTCCTGCCTTAGCTTCCTGACAATTTTACAGTTTCTTTTTTTTCCAGTACTGGGGATTGAAACCAAGGCCTTATGCATGCTAGGGAAGCACTCTACCACTGAAACTACATTCCCAGCCCAATTTTATACTTTTAAATCAACTGAACTGACACATACTACAAAACAACAATAACAATAACAACAACAAAACAGAGAATAAAACAAAAAGATACTTAAAATAGCATAAAATAAAAAATACTTAAAAATAAATGACATATAAGACCTTACAGAAGGCTGGGTTGTAGTTCAATGGTACAATGATTGCCTAGTATGTGTGAGGCACTGGGTTAGATTCTCAGCACCGCATATAAAGGTCCACCAATAACTAAAAAAATATTTTAAAAAATACATTAGAACTGAAATGGACCATGTATACAAGTTAATAGTAAACTAAATATAATGAAAACATTATTTTTCACCATTTAATCTACAGATGAAATCTCAAAATTCTAACACATTTAGTTAGCAGAACTTGATAAACTGATTCTAAAACTCATGTGTACTAAAAACAATAAAACATTAAAAAAAGATGGAGTACCATTCACATAGATAATAGCAGTTTTAATGAAATTGTAGTAATTAAGTCAAGGTGCTGTGCTAATGTCAAAAGGATAAGCAGAGAGAAACAGAACTGAATGGAATCCAGTAAGAGATTTTTGCAGAACCTAGAGTCAAATGATATATTATAGAAAGGATACTGCAGACTGGTGTGGGAAATGTTTTCTCTGATAAACTGTACTGAGACAACTTGGCATGCATATGGAAAATAAAATGAAATGTTATCATTATGATATACCAAAGTCATTTCCAGGTAGGTAAGACCAAAATGGTAAAATAAACCTATAAATTTTTTAAAAGATAACATAAGGAAATATCTTCATTTTCTTGGGAAAGCATTCTTAACTAAGACAAATATAATAGTGTTTTAGTCAGCTTTATTGGCACTGTGACCAAAGAACTGACAAGAAAAATTTTAGAGAAGAAAAAGTTTATTTGGGTCTTATGGTTTCAGAGGTCTCAGTCCATAGATGGCTGCCTCCATTACTCTGTGCCCAAGGTGTGGCAGAACATTATAGTAGAAAAGTGTGGTAGAGGAAAGTGGTTTAGGACATGGCTATCAGGAAGGAGAGACAGAGAAAGAGAAAGAGAAAAAGAGAGAGAAAGAGAGAGAAAGAGAGAGAAGGAAAGCACGTACATGTGCACGCTCCTCTCATCATGCACAAAACATAAACCCTAAAAGGCACCCCCCACCCTCAGTGACCCCACCTCCTCTAATCACACCCTACCTACCTATAGTTACCACCAGGGGATTACTGCACTGATTATGTTAAGGCTCTCATAACCCAATCATTTCACCTCTAAATTTTCTTGCATTGTCTCACACATGAGCTTTTAGAGGATACTTCATTTCTAGACCATAACAAACAGCAATTTTTCTTAAAAGAGTTATCTTATAATAAGAATCTCTTTAACAAAACACATTTAACTATCAAAACACACTAACTTATACAAAGACAAGATCACAAAGTCAGAGAAAATGCCTCTAACACATAACTGACCCCAAACCCAAAATTAAATACACAAAAAGAACTTCTACGATCAATGATAAAATAGCTCAATTAGAAAAGGCAGGTACAAACTTTGACTAGGAATTTCAGAAAAGTTGAAATACAATGGTCAATACACCTGTAAAGAGATCCTAATCTCTTTAGTATTTAAGCAAAGCCAAATACAAAAGCCATGAAATGCTACTCCTACAGCAGCACAAAACATAAAAGTGTAACAGAAATAAATGCAGGTAAAGATTCTCAACCTCATTAAAAATTAAGAAAATTCAAATTAAAAAATGATCTAATAACATATCATACTCATTAGACTGGCAGAAATAAAATTTTTTAAAAGCTATGATATGTGTTGTCAAGGATGTAGAATGATTTTGTAAATTGATGCAACCACTTTGGCAAACCATTTGATATCATTTTTGGCTTAAGTTGTACATTCCTGGTATAAACCCATATTCTACAGAAAAATTCTTGCAAATATGCACTGAAATCCTTATATATATGTTTAAAATAGCAATGTTTGGAATGAGAAGGGATGCAAAAGTGTCCAAATATCCCCAGTAGAATAGTGTACAGTTGTACAATGCAGTACTCTTCATCCATCACCCATTAAAATGAATAAATGTTATTTATATTAAGAAGCCACAAAATACTATGCATACTATCCTAGAAGAGCAAAATGGAAAACAGGCAAAATTCAATGATTTTGCTTAGAGATTAATAATGTATTAGAAAAATAATATTCAAAAAATTTGAGATCAACACAAATGCTATTAAAGTAAATAATATATGCATCTTACCAGCCCTCTTAGGAAATCCTGCTGAGAGAAATCTCAAAGATGTCACGAAGTGTCCACTATCTACTTTGTGACCAATAAATTTTACTGTCACTATTGCATATGGAAGGCACTGCCTAGGTTTATCTACTGGCTTTGAAAAGATATTGTATTCATAGAAGTATACCTGAAATACAGAGAAAAATGAATTTATGCTGATTAACTCTGGCAGCTAGATTTGACTAAGCTCATTTTTTAAAAAAGCCTATATAACAACATGATGTTACAAATGTATCTATTTCCATGTGCCTCCACCTTTCCCTGCCTTTTCAATCCTAGTTTTTTGGAAGATGACTATTCATTTATCCTACTACATGTTTTTTTTTTCTTGGTAGGCTATTTATGGTAACAGAAACAGATATAAATAAGAAGTACTTTTTAAAATAATAAGTAGTTTTCCACTAAAATTTAAATGTTTTATGTGTGTTCTAAACCATTATATTTTATTGGGTAGGAATAATTAATTAGGAAAATAACAAAAGTTAATATTTTTACATGTGAGAATATACACATACTTCTATACAGAAGATTTATTTATATCTTATTACATATAACATGTACATAATCTTCTATAGAAAATTAAAGGTCCACTAGTAAGCAAAAGACGATATAAAATTGCTGTTTTACCTAATGGTTAGGTTTCTTCTTTTCCAGAATACAAAAATGAGCAAGATTGTTTCAAAATAGTCTTATTTTAAAAATCAATATTAAGTGACAAATCATAACTGTATACTTTTATAGAGTACAATATCATGTTTCAATAATTATAAATAATTAAGAATGAATCAAGCCAATTAACATATCTGCCACCTTACTCATCATTTTTTTATGGTGACACATTTGAAAATTGCTTCTCAGTAATTTTGAAATATACATTATTAACAACTATGGTCACCTTGTTGTGAAGTCTTGTTTCAAAGGGAAGTTGATGTTTCCCAAGTTAGGAGTTAAACTACAGAACATCTAAATAAATGTACTGAATTAAGCATGTGACTTTCAAGTCATCAAATAAACCATAATGTTAACATACTGCTGAACTGTAGGCTTGTAGTTCAATGGTGTCTTTCAGAGAAGGTAAATTTCTTGACATGTGGCAATCAAAATTGGGAGAAGGATCCAAAGAAACTTTGTTTTTATCCATAGAAGGCTGAATTTTCTTCACTCTCCCAAAAAGAACCTTAAAAAATATAAATATAGGTATAAATACACACACCAAAAATATAAATATAAGTATAAATACACACACCAAAAAAAAAAAACCTTTTAAACTCACTTCAAACAGCAAGGCAGGCTAATACTTTTTTTAAAAAAATGAAATAGAAGTATGAATGAAAGCATAATCCATGCTCCAGATGAATTGGATGATTTAATACGGTAATTCTACTTTCCCTCCAAATTAAACTGAGATTAAATTTATTCCAATAAAATTCTCAGATAATCCACTTTCAGAAATGAGTTTTAGTCAGGGGCTGGGTTGTGCCTCAGTGGTAGAGTGCTTACCTAGCACACGTGAGGCACTGGGTTCGAACCTCAGCACCACATAAAAATAAAAGTATTGTGTCCATTTACAACTAAAAAAAAAAAGTTAAAAAAAAGAAATGAGTTTTAGACTAAAAACCTATCTAGAAGACAACACAAAAAACAAAAAAAAGCCCAGAAAATTTAGGTTAGAAACAGAATAGGTAAGTTGTAAGTTCAGATAAAAGAACCTTCTTTTTTGTTTAATTTTTTTTAGTTGTAGATGGACATAATACTTTTATTTTGTTTATTTTTATATGGTGCTGAGGATTGAACTCAGTGCCTCACACATGCCAGGCAACTGCTAGAGCACTGAGCCACAACCTCAGCCCCAGAACACTCTTTTAATACAAGAAAGGAGGAAGATTATTTCTAGATAGGGAAGAGGGGTGGGAGGGAAAGGGAGGGAGAAGGGGAATAGCAAGGATGGTGGAATGTGATGGTCATCATTATACAAAATACATGTATGAAGATTTGAATTTGGTGTCAACATATTCTATATACAAACAGAGATATAATAAATTGTGGTATATATGTGTATTAAGAATTGTAATGCAAAAAAAGTACATGTAAAATGGCATAATTTGGCATAAACACACTTTGTATACAAAGTTACGAAACATTGTGCTGAAAATGGGTAATAATGAGTGTAATGCATTCCACTATTGTCATGAATATACAAAAGAAAGAAAGAAAGAAAGAAAGGCAGAGGAAAAAAGAAGTACTTTCTAAAATAAACAATGAAACAAAGCTAGCCCGCAGTAGGTTCACATATACATCAAAATACATTATTAAAGATGCTGTTTGAAATAGATTATTCAATAAATAGTAGGGGATAACTGAAAAAATTAAATCCCTTCTTTTTAGGTTATGTTTCTTATTTTTCTTCTTGTTTTTAAGTTCCTTTCTTAATTTGTAAACAAAATAATTACCAAACATGTTAAATATTTAAATATTAAAAAGAAAGCATTGCAAAATACAAGCAATTATCTAAAATCAAAGATGTCTTTTCTAAGAATATATGCCAAGAAACCATGAACCCAAAATGTAGACTTTACTAATACCCTAAAACTTCTGTACTTCAAAAACAAATGAATATTAAAAAACTTTTAAAACTCAAATCATAAATGTAATTGGCAAATGGAAGAAAGCACAAACAATATTACAAAAGATATACATTTTGTATAAATTCAGCAATTCTCCTACTGATGTGAAAACAGTTGTTCCAAAATCAAAACAATACTGAATGTAATGTGGTATCCCAGACTAAACCCTGGATCCTGAAAAAGAAACATGCATAGAAAAACTGGCAAAAGCCAATAAAAACCATAGCTTGGTGTTGGGGGTGAAGCTCAGCAATAGAGCACTTGTCTCATAGGTATGTGTGCATGCCTGGGCTTGATTCCCAGTACAGGGGGGGAAAAAGGGTCTGTAGTTTAGTTACAGGGTTAACTAATGTTTAGATCTCAGTTTTGACCAATGTAGTATAGTTATGTAAATAAATGTTAACACTAGGGGAAGCTGGGTGAATTGTACATACAAACTCTTATTTTTTCTAACTTTTCTAAAAATCTAAAATTATTATTATTTTTCACAATATATTTATTTTGTTTATTTTTATATGGGGCTGTGGATCAAACCCAGTGTCTCACATATACAAGGCAAGTGCTCTGCCACTGAGCCACAACCCCAGCCTTGAAAATCTAAAATTATTAAAAAATAAAAAGTATATTAAAAATTAAAAACATACAGACAAAAGTCTAGCTATCAAGTTATCCTTTAGTCAATTGATATATTCACAAATCAAACAAAAAGAAAAAAATCCAAGTGGCAGAAGATATGTACAAGCAACTCTCCAAATATAAACAGCCAACAAATATATGTAACAAAAATTTAAATTCAGTAATAATCACAATAAAAACAAAAATTGAACCAATATTGATGAACTGCTTGTTACACATTAGGCTAGCAAGAATTTTTTTAAAAAGTATAACATACAGGTTTAGTTATAGTGTGAGATAGGAGGCATTCTCACAAACTGTGAATGAAATATCATAATACAATCTTTCCCTGGACAACCACATTATTAAAAGCTATAAAAATGTACATATCTTTGACATCTTGAAATAAATTCTTAGCATATAGGTGCCGGGGTACATGCTTAGCATATATAAGACATTGAGTTCAATCCCCAGAACCAAACAACTTTGCACAAAATCATACATGTGTGTGAAAACATATTTACAGGGATAATCAAAGTGCAAAACCAAAATAAACCAGAAACCAACTTATATCCCAACATTAAGAAATTTTGGATGGGCATCACCATGCCCAGCACCACTGTAATCCCAGTAGCTCAGGAGGCTGAGGCAGGAGGATCAAAAGTTCAAAGCCAGCCTCAGCTACAGTGAGGTGCTAAGCAACTCTGAGACCTGATCTCTAAATAAAACTCAAAATAGGGCTGGAGATGTGGCTCAGTGGCCAAGTGCCCCTGAGTTCAATCCCTGGTACCCTGCCCCATAAATTTGTTAGACAAATTCATTGTACAGGTGTATAGTGAATAACTAAGCAATCATCCAAAAGGATTTTACAATTTGGGCTTGTAGTCCTAGCTATTCTAGAGGCTAAGGCAGGAGGACTGCTTGAGCCCAGGACTCTGGGCAACATAGAGACCCCATCCCTTAAAAAAACAAACAAACAAACAAACAAACAAAAACCAAAAACTAAAGGATATTACAGGAGAATATTTATTTAATGGCATGGAAAATGTTCATTGTCTAACCAGTGGAGAAAGCAAGTTATACATTATAAAAAGCAAGAAAATAATTACAATTTTACTTGCATATCTGTTTATATGAATAGAAGACTAAGGGGCTGGGGTTGTGGTTCAGTGGAAGGGTGCTTGCCTAGCATGCATGAGACACTGGGTTTGATCCCCGGCACCACATAAAAACAAAAACAAGTAAAATAAAGGTATTGTGTCCAACTACAATTAAAAAGAAAAAACTTCGGGGCTGGGGTTATGGCTTCAGCAGTAAAGTGCTCACCTCAAAGGTGCGAGGTGCTGGGTTCAATCCTCAGCACCACATAAAAATAAATAGATTAAAAAAAAGAAAAACTTAAAAAAATAAATAGAAAACTAAGTATAGATATTTAAAAATCTGGCTTGATTATTATTGAGCTTTTGGAAATTTTTAGTATGACCCAAATTTTCTAAAATTGGTATCTATTTTTTTTGGTACTGGAGATTGAAATCGGGGAAACTTGGCCTATGACTCACATCCCCAGCCCTATTTTGTATTTTATTTAGAGACTGGGTTCTCACTGAGTTGCTTAGCTCCTCGTCTGGCCATTCCTGAGGCTGGCTTTGAACTTGAAATTCTGCTGTCTCAGCCTCTCAAGCTGCTAGGATTACAGGCATGTGCCACCACGCCAGGCTTATTGTTTTTTAATATAAAAATAAACTATGGGGCTGAGTGGTAGCGCGCTTGCCTAGCACGCATGAGGCACTGGGTTCAATTCTCAGCACCACATACAAACAAACAAAATAAAGGTCCATCAACAACTAAAAATAAATAAATAAATAAATCATGCTTAATGGAAGACAATATTTGAGGTAAAAAAACATGTCATATGAACCATTGATTTGATGTAGATATACATATCCTAAGTTGCCCTTACAGAAATGAGGATACTGTTTGCATATTGTGATTTTAGTAGTTCTGGCAAAGCAGAAATAAATCAAAAAGTAAATCTTAACTAATTCACCTGTTGATACTTAATATTCTTCTATAAGACTTGTTTTTTTTAATAGGAGCTCTAGAACTAGAAAAATTGCAAAAATAGCTCAAAGGCTGATTCTGGGAATATGGTGGAATAGTAAGCATCAGAAATTTCTCTCTTCATGTAGGCAATAAATGCACTGAAAGAATCTGTCTGGTTCTAGAATTCTGGAACTCCGGAATCTATTCAAGGCTTGCAACTTCTAGGGGAAGGTGAGGATAGTATATTACAGTTAATTTCAGTTCTTCACACAGTAGCAGCTATGCTTTCCCCACCTCTGGGGCTCCATGGTAGGCAGTAGTGCATGTGTTCCTGTGGCAGCTCATACACTACTTACAGGAGCCAGAGTTTACAATAATAAAAATCAGGGATATGTGCTCTACTTCTAGTAAGAGAGGTGCAGACTAAGGCAACAGTCATTGTTGTATTTCTTCCCCACTGTTTGTTGCAAGTCCCTGCCCTTCTGAATTCAAGAGATTTCCAGGGGATTTAAAGCTCCAGGCCCCATGACGCTGCCCCTTCTGGATGGAAGACCCTGAAGACTATAACATTTAAAAGCAACAACAGGGGAATTTTAGTAGTCTTCGCAAAGTTACAATTAACCAAAGAGTAAATCTTTACCAAGTTATCTATTGATTAGTTTGAGATTCTTCTATGGAACTGTTTCCCCCAATTTTGAATAGCTCTAGATTTTAAGAAAATTTGCAATAGTTCTTCAAAGGTTTTGATTGTCAGCCCTGCAAAAATCAAAAGCAGAAACAAAAAACCCCCACAAATATACAGGAAATCAGAGAGTCACCATGCAGAGAGAAAGATGCAGAGTTAGATAAAGACCTGAGAAGAACTTAAGTTTATACTTGAGGTTCATCTTTGGTA